GTGTGTGTGTGTGTGTGTGTGTGTGTGTGTGTGTGTGTGTGTGTGTGTGTGTGTGTGTGTGTGTGTGTGTGAAAATGTGTGAGTGAGCATGGGAGCATGGGTGAGTGAGTATGTGAGGAAATGAGTGAGACTTACACCATTTCTACAAAATGGAAAAGAGATTATCAGAAGCTAAAGAGGGGATTTCATACTCTACAAGGTGTTTAAACACAAATGCATAAGCTCATAGATGACAAATGTAGAGTCAAACCAACATAAATTGTCTTAGTAAGGTGTCAGTAAGGATAGCTTCAGTGCTCCTTAGCAGAGATTCTACAAGTCCTCTGGAGCTCTACTGGAGGGAAGAACACTCTTCTTAAAAATACCAGTATTTTGTTTCGGTGATGGTGGTTATGTTAAGGCCGTAGTATATTATTCACATCATTTTCAAAAACCCCTTGTGCCTTGTACAGAAGCATCGACATTTATTATATTCCTCCAAACATGTATTCCAGTTTTCTCCTTAATTTGTTGCCCATCCTTACATACACTGTAGATTTACAGATTCACTCTAAATCCATTGATGCACGTAAACGGGAAACCATATTCCCAGCCAGAAAGAGGAGACAGCAAGAACAAAAGCAAGGCTCCTTTTTCCCCCCATTTGGTCTTTTTCTTTACTTGTTCTCCAACCAATTAAAATCAGATAGTGGAAAGCTAAGGAATACTATTTATGCATTGAAAGTGACAGTGCTGCTTTTAAAATCTTTGTATCTTATATACCTGTCATTTCATGCTTTATTGTCTCTTAATCTTGCAGCCATAGAGGTAACCAATTTGGATTTAATATCAATTATTCATTAACACCATCAGATATCTCTAACTAGATGGTCACTGAGCCAAGAAGTGATCTTTGTTACCAAGAGAAGAAATGGCTTTTTCTCAACAAGCCTACTCTGTGGGGTCCAGGCAAACAGTTCAGCCTCTAATGCAGTCTGTTGAAGTTAATCAAGGAACTATTTATCTGGAGTGTGTGTGGTGGCGTAGTGCGTGTTTCTATATGTGTGTTTATGTCACCCAGCTATGGAGTAGGTGATTTATGAGAGGCGAACACATTTAGAGATCATTCGTGTGTGTGTGTGTGTGTGTGTGTGTGTGTGTGTGTGTGTGTGTGTGTGTGTGTGTGTGTGTGTGTGTGTGTGTGTGTGTGTGTGTGTGTGTGTGTGTGTGTGTGTGTGTGTGTGTGCGCGTGTGTGTGTGGTTGCCTGAGCACTCCTGCTAACTCAAACAAACAGGCAGCGAGCAGGGGTACTACACATGCAACACTGGAGCCAAGATGAAATTCCTCTGTAGACAAAACTCAAGCTTTGTAAATAGTACAGGATTAATCATCATTCATTATGAGACTCGGCAGACATAAAAACCCCAAAGGTCTGGTCTATTATACCGATTTTGTTAGTGAAGAACAAACACTACATAGAGATTAAGGCCCAAATCGACTTCCTGTATTTAACCCTTCACATACACATGTCCTGCGAACATATGGTTTTTGAACGGAACTCCGAGACAAGACCTCCTTTTATTTGACAGCATGTGTCTGAGCAGAAAAAGTCTGCAGATCTAGTCTTAGTGCACACGCCTACAGATCATTGATTGTGACAATTATTTCATATGCAAGCTGCAGAATTTACATAGATATTTACTGTAAAATACAGCTATTTGACCCTGCATATTGTCCTGCTTTCTCAAATCAAAGTCAGATAGTTCTGATTTCTAAAGATTGTCAATCAAATATAAAACGCAAATCTTTTACATAATCATGTGCAAACCCAGTACAGTGCATAAATGGACACTGTGTGCAGATAGTGGTAGTTGCGTGTGGACTGCAGATTCAGTCAATAACATTCAGAGGTAAAGTGCAGGGAAAAAAGGCGGGAGTGGATGTGAGGTGCCATGTAAGTAGGTGTGTGTATGTGTGGACTTCTACGCATGTGGTTATACGTGGTCACGGTATTGGACAGAATAAAAGTCTGTTGGATAGAGACGTGGAGCGCCTTTGGAAACTGTTAAAGTAAAGGAAATAAACAGTGAAAAGAGAAATGGCAGCAAAGACCTGAACTCCTGGTGCCCTGGCATTTCTCTTTATGATGGATGAGCTCAGGGATCCTAGAATAGGGAGATGTGGGGGTTTGGCCTTTTTAATATCCAACAAAACATTGCTGTAGAAGCAAAATTATGTCTTCCACATCCTGGCCTTCCGGGAAAAGCCCTCTGATTGCAACAGATTTCCCTTTAAAACAAAAGGGGCCACAGGACTAAGATTGCAGTCTGAACCTTGAGATGTCAAAAGCTCAGGCATTATGAGGGGAGAAAAAAAGAAAGAAAATAAGTCCAAACAAAAACAAAAAAAAGTAAAATATCTGTGCGCTCTGTGTATGTACATGTTCCCATATCAACATGGTTCCTTATCTAGTTAATGTGCAGAACAAACAGACTGTTTACATCATACCTCCAGTCTTCAAAGTAATCTAAATATCCCAACCATGATCTTATAATTACTAATGATTCAGTGCCAGGAGACAAAGCGGTGCATTCCCGGCCTACACTGACCGCCCACATTCACTGGAAAAAAACTGTATGTTATGAGTTATGCATATGTACATTAAACGTTTTTAACTCAATCCAGCTAAAACTAAATGGAAAGCTCTAAACATTTCATAAGTCTGTGGGCTCAACAAGGAGATCAAAACAAGTATAAGATCTCTCTGTATAACAGCACAAAATTACTATTATATAACATATATTTTCTGGAGGGGGATATGTTGCCGTTCTTGGACAGTTGATAGTTGAGAAAGACAGAAAGGTATCAGACTTAAAGGGAAGATATTGCAGCTCCATGGAATGTTTTTTTCACCCACTAAAATTCCCCTTAAAAACTTAATATATCTTTGATAGATAAACAGATGCTGTGAGTTCTATCTTTTAGTCCATTGTAGAGTCAAGTCTTCAACCATTTGTAAATGGTTGACAATGTAGGACTGTGCTGGAAGGCAAAAAAACAGGCATCACAACACATTTTTTCTCCTAAACCTAACATTTAAATAATCAAGCTGTTTTATATTGTTAGAGTATTTGGCATGAATAAAAATGACCTCAGCAGACACTTCTGTTTAGCCTTCCATCAGTTATCCAGCCTATTCACCTCCTTAGTGTGTTGGACCTGAAGTAACCTTACTTTGTTGATTAGAGGCTACTGTAAGCTTTTCGTGTGTTGGTGAGTCTGCTCTTGGTATATATAACTGAACACCTGGACTTTGACTAGTGTCAGATATCTGTCATGTGGCAGTCATGCAACTGAGTGTCTTCACTTTGTCTGAGCAGCCAGACTGCCAAGTTTCTGTTGGAGCGCCTTCAAAAAGCTCATCATTGAGTCATAACTTTGGAGACAAACAGTGACAACAATAGTTAGGATTATGACAAATGCATACTTGGATGTTCTCACCAGAAAGGACAGTGCAAAGCTACCAGGAACGTTGACTTTTAAAAACTGAAGCACAGTGTGTCCTGCATTTGTCGTCATTGAAAAATGTTTTTCATATACAAGAATCAGACAGTTCTTGCTGTAAATCTAGTTTAAATGCTGGCTGTCTTAGGGCCGTGATACAGCGGAAGCTGGAGAACACACAACAAAGGGCCAGAAGAATATCCACCAAAGCCTCAGTTTGGGCTTCTAGCGCCAGTCAAAGCAATATCTGGAAACACTTTTTATCCTGCAACAACAAAAACACGCAGCATCCCAGATTTCAGGCCCAGCATAGCTGCATCAAACCACACTGCCCGCTATGGTCAGGCCTTAGAAAAGAGGCTTATACAGAAATCCAGCTAGGGCTAAACGCATCAACCCAGAGGCTGCATAGCATGACAACACAACTAACAGTGAGCCCAACCTTGGTCAGCTGGCAGGTCTCGTGAGGTCATTCCCAAATACCACAGATAACACTAGCTCTTCACCCTGATTGTCTTCTAGCATGAAAGCAGTTTTGTGGTTGTAGGTGGAAGAAGGAGGGGGTTTCTTAGAAGAGAAATGTTCAAATATGTTCTGTTTCAGTCTTGAGTAAATGTTATGATAATTTCATTTGCGTGAGTAATTGTGTCTGGTCTTACAGACTGTTTCTGGCGCTGGAGTGGAGAGCGGGAGAACAAGAGAGGATCAGACGGCACGCCTATTGTTTATTGGATCAATTTGAAAGCACTGGAGGAGTAGTGAAGGATACCATTTGTCGCTTTCCTTGACACCCAGCATGTTTAAGTTTAGTGAACAAGGAGAGGCATTCAGACTCGGGACAAAGGGATACACAGACGTGTCCTCCTTTCTGCTGGAACACAGTGTTCATTATAAGACCTCTATGAGAGCATGATGGCGAGTATCTCCTTAAAAAATGGGGACACAGGTTGTAGAGGATTAAAAAAAAAAATCCTTCCAAACCATCCACCAAGAAAACTAAAAGGACATGATCAAGACAAGTAACAATTACTGCCTGTGAGAGCACAACAAACTACTTTAACCCTGCTCTTTTTAACACAAACATCTTTTATAGAACAGAAAAAAGTTTGCTGTTTGGACACAATTTTCATGATTGTATTGCTGTAGCATTCAAAAGACAAAGACAACAAGATGGATGTGTGAAAATTGGAAATGCAACAAGCTATCTCTCTTGTGCAACCCAGCGTGCTGTGTGCCTGTACATACATGTCTGTGTGCGATAGTGTGCTTTGATTACATAGCAAAGCTATAGGCCTCCATTCAGGCAGAAGAGCCTGTAGAGTGGGCTGGACTGCAAGGCTTTAGACAAGCCAACAGTAAGCAGGAAATCAGGAAATGAGCAGAGTAGAGGGACAATGACATGGAGATTACCGCTCAGTTAACCCGCACCCTTTGGGTGACTGACCTGTTTGCTCACTAAATACAACTTCCTTTTAGATACAAGCACGCAATCTATGAAACACACACTTTCAAACACAACCTGCTGTGCACTCAACAACCTATTCAAACTCAACCTCTCTCACTCTCCCCGTCTCTCAAACACAATTAGGTCCAGAAATGAGTCGTGCGCCTCTGTAGTTTCTCCCACATTTCGGTCTTTCTCAATATCAAGGAATCAAATCAGCAGCTCCTGCTTCACACCCACTGTCTCACAGGTAATGGGTGCAGCCAACCAACCAGCAGGACTTAGTTTAACACTTATGACTAAAAGGTCAACTCACACCGCAACCAGGATGATATCATCTGACGGCTGGCAACCATTCTAAAAGGGGGATGACTGCTAATATAAACTAAGAAAAGCCTTAAGAAAAAAAATTTGAAGAAAAGATAACCTCCACCTGGAAGTCTTAACGCTCTTGTACTCTGACCTCACCTGGCTTATCTCTTAGGCAAAAGAAGACTTTCACCAGCGACACACCTGGAGAGCTCTGCAATGCAAGAGGGAGTTTACACTGGGAAGGATTAGCAAAAAAAAAAAAGGGGGGGGGATTTAATGTCTGAGGACTGACAAGACTCACCTAAGCAGCAGCATAGACAAAGGTAAGAGACCCTTAAATGTTACAATTTAATGTAAAAGTTGACTTGGTTGTGTCACTGGTGAAATTTCCATTTTAACTGACTCTGTTTCTCTGTTTCAGGACTAGACTGTACAATCAAGTCTTCCCTGTAACAGCTGAACAAGCCCCATCATGTCAAGGAAGAGTTTGTCGGGGTGTGCAGGTAGACGCTGCCTAGTTTCCTGACAGAGACGTGTGTGCATGTGAGGGATTCAAATATCCTGTATTTGCTCAGCGAGACAGGTAAGAACTAACTAATCAGTCTTGATGTATTCTATTGTTATTTATCCCACTCGAAAAACAACTGCATGAAAAGGAAAATCTTGAAATTAATTGCTTTTAACTCGTGGTTAAAGTTTTCATCAGACGGATTCCTCATCTGTCTCAAAGCTGCATCATTTATGGCAGCACTGAGGAAGATAATTTAAAGAAAGTTTCTTGGCCAATCTGTTTTAATGGGCTTCTTTAATTTTTACTTGGCCATGAAGTGTTTCCTGAACATGAGACTCATGGCTGAAATCCTAAGACTCCTCCTTGGCCAAACTGACATGTTTGGAAAGGAATGCTGTTGTGTCCACGCTCTCCAATCTCCCGCTGCTACTAAAGTGCCGGTAAAACCTTTATAGGCCAACAAAACCTGTTTGCTGTAGTGGCTTACAAATTTACAGAGTGAGTGTTTCAAGTCACGAACACAGATCTAATGTGGGCAAAGCTGTTTGGGAGACTGTTAAATCACAGACACTGAATAGATTATCTAATCGACATGCCAGTGTTGATGAACTGAGTTCTGTTTTACTTAATAAAATGATTACAGGTCACGGAACACAAAATAGTTCTTTTTTTTTTTTTTCTTTTTTTTTACAAAGTTTGACTCTCATGTGTTAGTGTATGGTTTTCATTTCTGAGCAAGATGTTTCCTTTTAAGTTTTGTTGGTGGAAGTGAAATTTTAATAATATAAAATCCCTAAAATACAATGCAAAACATAAAACTTATTTTGAAATGTAATGCCTACAGTGTGATGTTATTTATGGAATAAAAATATTTCATTTTATGAACTTCCACATCCAGAGTCACTGCATAAATCCACCACGGCAAAATAAACTGACTGCCTCCCAGCTATCTGTATTTTTCACAAAATCATTAACATGTGTTCCAAAGTGAAGTTATCATCATGATTTCTGACAGAAGTTACGGTAAAACCATTTGGGAATCTGCATTTTTGTTCCTTTTGTTACTGGAAGTCTTAAGTAGGCTAATAGACTTCCTTCAGAGGATAGGCGGTAGACCACACCTGCATTTATGGTAAAAAACAGGGATTGAAAAGTAAATATTTAGAAATGAAAGCTTTAAAGCATTGTTGGAACATGCTGCCAAATATTGCTGAATTTCATTAAATCAAAATAAGGCGGAGCAGGTGCAATCTCTAAACAATGGCTGCCGATTTATATCAAGCCGACTGATCCAGTCCAATACTTACATCTGGTGCTGAATTACATGACGAGCACAAGCACAGGCCTGCGCCATATTCTAGCAAGATGAGAGGGAAACCTTAATGATATCAAACTGATTTATAATATATTTTAAAAATGGAGAGCTATGTATCAGACCATTTTAAATTTAAATTAATAAAATAATTTCTCTTTTCTTATGTTTTGTTGCAGATGGCATTATGTGTTTAAGCTTCACCACTTCCTAAGGATTCATTGTCAAACAAAGGAGAAAATACAAAAGGATACAAAGACTTTTGAGGATACATAAAAACATTTGAGCCTATTTCAACCAAATCTGCCAAGATGCCACTCAGAACATCGTTGTATAGAAAGCCATCCTCTGGTCGTTGGTCCAGCAGGAACTCCAAACGCAGGGAGGTGCTGTCCGTAAATATGATTAGTTTACCACTGGCCGATTTCCGCCACATCTCACATATTGGCAACGATGCCGATACGGACAGCTTTGGAGATCTCTCCTTCTTAAAAATGGGCCACGGTCTGCTTCTACAAAGCTCCCAGAGCGAGCAGAATCTCTTCCTGGCCTGCTCGGCTCCACCCAAGCCTCCGCGTCTAAACCTGGATGAGGCAGACGGTTCTGAGAGCCCCGACTGGCACGGAAACCACCAGCACAGCGTGTCCCAGAAGAGAAAGAAATGCAGCTCTATGCCACTTCTGGACAGTGAGGAAGGAGACATAGAGATGGAAAAGGAGGATGGGTGCCAAAGAGGGAATATTGTTGCTTCCAGTCAGACTCACAGACCTGGATGGGGCAGCCTGAGCTTAGACAAGGATGGAGACTCCGCAGACAACTGTGACAAAAGTGCTGGACAGCCAAAGGATGAGGACAGTGGCTTTTCATTTAGCCTCGACCTGGGCCCTTCAATCTTGGATGATGTTCTCCAAGTGATGGACAAACTCCACAATTAGACAAGATAGCAGCCAAGGGTTACAGGAAGCCTTTACTAAAAGTCTGGAATATGGAGAACTCGAACTGTTCTGTATGACACATTTCTCCTCAAGTGATGGTTATTGTTCAAATAAACTGTAGATATCTTATTTTATGATCCCTGGGCACCTAGTAGTAATACACAGCCTTTGGAGAGAACTATTAATGGAGGTTAACTACTACACTGAAAAGACTGTCTTTTACCAGTATTTCAGTAAAACATGCTACGTACTTTTTGAATCACACATCACAGCAGATTTTTAGGGTAAGGAGCTTACTCCTTTATAGAGCACCAGATATTGTGTCTACAGCACACTGTGGTCCATAGCATTTGTAAAAAGTAAAAATAATCTCTTGCTTGAAAGTTAATGTTCTCCTTAGATTGACCCCTTGTAGAGGTCGATCCAATGTTTAAATTAATAATTGAACAAACTGATGTCAAACCCCAAGCTGGACATTTCTTCTTTTACTTCCCTCCTTTGCTATTGTAATCCCCCAAACCACACGCCACAGCACTGAAGACGGCTGTTAAGACTTAAGAGTGTTGTGTTTAAGAAAAGAAAAGCTGCAGCTGGAATCCAAGGTCCTCGAGCTGCGATGTCTTGGCTCTTAGCGTGCTTGCCAATCTATTGTGTGCAGAGGGCAATTTTGCCTCCGCACGCATCCCAGAGGCCCCACTCAAAGGTAGACCAAGGTACCCCCCATCTCTCATTCCCAACAATGCAGTGAAAACAAACACTTAGCTCTGCTTCCAATAAAAGCCAGCCAGTAGTGGCAGGTTGGGCTGCAGACCAAGCCAGGCCACAGGTCCAAGACCTGAAAAGAAAAAAAAAAAAAAAAAAAAAAAAGGAGAGCAGGGTGTTTTCTTAGCTGCAAATCAAGAGTCCGATACTCTGGTGAGTGGCACACGAGAGGGAAAGTGGTAAAGGGTAACGTGATACTTCCACATATGCAGGGGGTGTCGAGGGAGGAGGACCAGAGACATCCATTACTGCAGCAAAAGTCCTGATGAGGGTTTAAACACTACCTTCTGACCAAACAGACCCCCCCTCCACCCGACACGTGAAAAAGACATGCTTGTGTCTCACATAGCATGGAACTGAGATTTGTGTCGATCAAGATGCACTTTCCTCAGGTCTGGATAAGGAGAGAGTCAGGACAGAGCCTCAGTCTGTGCCTTACTGGGGGTAGGGGGGGTTGTCAGGAAAGGCTGTGGGGCAAACCCAGAACCAGCCAAATTCCTTAGTTCCCCACGGGTCATGCTGCAAAATATACGAACCACAAGTGTCCCGCTTCTGGCAATGGATTTAGAACTCTATGTATGTCCAGGAACAGCGATGTTTGTGGGAACATCTGCACTGTATACCTCTTTTGACATCTCCCATTTTAAACTGGAAATCACTACCCCCTTTTTTTGTATATGTTATGACAATAACACATTGTGAAACATATATGCATTGAAAAATGTACTGCTGTATTTTGGTGAAGTAAAGAAAAATATCGTTCAAATTCCACAATTGGTGGTTTGGTGAATAGAACTGCTCATGTCAACATTTTAAGAAAGCTTGTATGACACTGTTTACACACCCTGATGGACAGACATTTATTTGGCTTTTTAACCATCAGCAGCCACTGTGTGGGCAATGAGCGTTGTCAGTCACTTACAGTATACCTAACAGTTTCCAGAAAAATTATAGCCTTGGATTATCCAACACAACAAGCAGCACAATATCATTTCAGGGTGGAGAGACACACAAGCCTAAATTAGACAGGCATGTCAAGCAGGATTTAATGTAGAAACATAAATACTGTGTTACATTAAACTGGACTTTGGAGCAACTGCTGAGCTGTTAGGCAAGCCCTGCTCTGAGGCACACCTGTATCAGACAGAGTTCAACAGCTAACTAGGGTGTGTTAGTTTGTCAGACTTTTATAATACAGGCGACTTTTTCCAGATAAGCAAGAGAAAGAGCTATTCAGTTACACAGACTTTACATTGGACAGTGTTACCCTGTCTGCTACAATGGCCCTTAATGATCAAAGTCTAATTTTTTCACAAGAGAAAGAAAAATTGTGCAGTGTCGGCCAGGCATATACTAGACACTGTGGAAACAAATGATTGTTATGTTTGTTATATATATTAAACAATATAAGAAAAACAACAATTTTGGTATTTTGAGTATTTTTTTTTAATTATAAAAAAAACACCGACACATCTTGCAAGCCCATCCTCATTCATTATACCTTCACTTTTTTTCTGGCCTTCTTGCAGAGAAGAGTCCTTGACTGCTACGAGTTCTCAGTGTGAAGAATCACATGAAGTTAAGCTCAACAAGTGTTCAGCCGCATGACTGATGCGAGAAGAAAGAGCCTGTAATTGAAGACAAATTATCTTGTCTGCGCTGCACAAACTGGCTGAGTTGTGAAGTATCCCAATCACATCTGGTACCACTTCGCTCCCTCCAATAATCTAAACTTTCTGTCATACAGAATACCAAAATAACCCTGTCATCTCACTGAAGAGTAGCTCTTATGACTTATTTATTTTGTCATGTACTAACTAAAAAACAAAAAATATTGTTTTGGCAAATAAGAGATGTCCTTCTACTGTAATTGCATTTTTGCAGTACAGTCTGATGCTGCTGAGACACTGGTTCACACACAGAAGGTGATTATGTGAAACTGATATTGTTTATGCTGTCTGTATCGTGTCAGAACATATTATCAAGCTATAGACGGTTAGGGCCAAGCCAGTCCACAACAGTTAACCCCTCTCATGACACGCATGATTTGGGTGTACCACAACAATTTTGAAATTCTGACCACACCTTAATTACGCCAGGCAATGTCTAATGAGAAAATACAAAAACAGGTCTATATATTTCATGCTATCCCAAACCAGTGTAACTTTTCTATAAACTGTGGTCTTTTGCTCTTTGAGTGTCCCGTTGTACATACACGATATATCACCAACAGCTCCAACCTCATATATTATGAGGTTTACTGTCTTTCTCTGTTTACTATATCCATTTAAACCTGGTACACAATTTTAATATCAGATACTAACCAATAATAATAATAATAATGATAATAACATGCTTTCCTCCTTTTGGATCTGATCATAAAAAAATATAGAACCCTGTTGGTCTCCCTCCAAGAGGCCCGATATTGCCATTCAAAGAGGGTTGATTATGCAAACAGCAGGGCCACATACAGCACACCTCTTCAAGACTCAGTAGCTATTTTAGGTGAGAGTGCACTTTTCAAGCACCAGCAAACCGGCAGGCTGGAAAAACAATCCCAGAATAGCTGATCCGCTGCATCTGGCTTGTGTCGTGACAAGCCTGTGATGACTCTCATGGCTCTAGATGGAAGAAGCAGGCGTAGAAAGCTCAAATTTAAATTCTTCACAATGGATTCACTTTAAATACTATGGAAAGCTAAACTGCGCAATAAACCATGAATCACGACACACTGATTAATGATCAAGTTACATCTGCGGAGAAAACAAATATTACGTCTGGTAAAGACAAAGCAGATGGTTAGATAGTGATTCCATATCTGAGGCAAGTTGGGAGGTGAGATCATTAGTCAGATTTCTGCAAATCCATAAAGTCCGCCACATATGAGAAGTCATATTTTGATGCAGAAACTAGACAGTACCGTTCTTATTTAACAGTACATTTATATGTACATTATCTGAGCCCTGCAGTGTTTTGGTTACCACACTATTAATATAAACTGTTTATTTTCTTTACTTCAGGTTGATTCAGGCACCATGACTCATTCAGGATTCACTGAGATTTGCAACTGTGTACACTTCAATGCTTAAATAAATGCTTGCACTAATGAGAATGACTTAAGCACTTCTTTCATAAAGCTGCCCTTTTCTCAATCTCTAACTATGACTATGTTTATTAAGTCAAAGGGTGAAGAAACAACAACAAAGAACAGCCTGGAGATGAAACTAGATATTTTCCCAAAAGAGAGGTCTGAATTAAGTCAGGAGCATTGGGAGCAATTTCACACAGTGTGGAAGATGTGGTCCGTCCCTATTTGGACATTTTTAATATCTGTGGTGAGAAAATCTGGGTGAATGCAGTGGGGGCCCGTTATAAATCATGTCATATCGGTTTTCTGGAAAAGCAGAACAAAAACAGTTCAACAGGTCTCCTCAGTGTCAGTCTGTGAGAGCAGGGAAAATCATATCATGGTACAGTTAGTAATGTTCAAGGTCAGGACCCTCAGGGGGAGTCTTCAAGAGGAATTTGTGTACCCCACTCAGGCCCTTCACATTGGCAAAAACCTGACAAACGATCTGCATGCTGCACTGATAGCTCCCGGCAAATTTAATTTCTGGACCAATTAGAGCAGAGCTGGGTCCAGTGCTGAATCCAGTACTACTGATTGGTCTAGACTGAGAGCAGAGTGACTCTTAGTCATGCAGATCACAACCACCTGAGTGATGAATGTGTTTGCGTGTATATATATATATATATATATTGTTCCGTTTCATGATCTCTGTTAGATCTGTTAGTTTGCTCAGTACAGTGTGTTTTTGCAATCCGTTTTTGAACCTTCAGAAGTTTTTGGGATGTGCAAACCCTACACTCTGTTTGCCCTTCACACTGGCCCCAGATTAATTTATTAAGCCGAGCAGATCTGGAACTGAACCTGAGGCTGAAGTCATACGTCTGTGTTTCCGAGCTCCCTGTAGTGAGACCCTGACTCTCTGAGCACGATGTTTGGATTGATGAGGTTAAAGAAGCAAGTCTTCACCCAAGCTGCTCCTATGTGATTGCAGCTGGCTAGTGTGAGAGAGTAATGGAGAGGTAGATGACAGAAGGGGAATCTGATTTTTAGATTTAAGATAGAGTCCGACGAGAAGGACCTCCAAGGCACTGGCTTCTTATTACCTCTATATCTCTTTCTCAAATGCCCCCCATGTCCACTGACCCCAGGCCAGATGTGGAACAACATTACTAATATCTACAATGGTTAAACCATTATGTCATGTGGGGCCTCTTTAGTGAGTATTCTCGCTGAGAGCTAATGCGAAAATTACCCGGCCATAGTAATGTTTTCATTCTCAGGGGCAGGACAAAAAAATCTGTAAGGCAAACCAGGTTACCATAATAACATTTAAAGAGATTAGTGTGACAAGTCCCAGTGTGCAAGCTGGGAGTCTCACATGCTAGCCTTGACGAGGGGGTCTGAGACACTGCACTGGGTGGAGGGGTGAAACCCAGTTCAGCAGCAGCTCTGGAGACATAGATAAGTGTAGATAAAGTCTACTGATCTGCAATCCCTCACAGGTAAAGATCACAACGTAGGAGAAGTAAAATGGACACTGCAGAGAAAAAAAACATTACTTCATACTAATCGAATGACAAGAAAGAAAAACTTTGTAGATTCTCAGTGGATATAGCTGAAATTAGATTATCCTTGGACAGGAAAAGAGTTAATGCGCCTTTGGTGTCTGCATGTGTACTTGGCAGGGAAAGACAAAACATTAGGCGTGCAAAATCAATTAAAAAAAGTTGAGATTGCAATATGGACTACTGTGATTTCCAAATCACAAGAAGCAACACATCAAAGAGAAAATGTAAATGTTTTCTAAAGTGTAAAGCATTCTAGTTTTGTGCAGCAAACCTTTGGGCAGCAGAAAGTAAATTCTTTAAATTCAGAATTAGAAACCACATTCCCTCTAAAAAATATTATTATATATTATATTATTAATATTTAACTCTCTATAATCAAACCGGTAGAAAACCCCCAAAAAAACATTATTTACGAAAAACTATTTAAGGATCAATAGCAATAGAGAACCAGACTCACTTGGCAACAATGCAGGAATTTAGTGAGTCTCACGTGCCAGGCTACCATTATTGCACACTGCTTCTTCTGGGTTGCTATGTGAAACGCAGCATTCCTGGGGTCTCGCAGGTCAGGCCCGTTAATGAGCGTCCCGACCAGGGGCTTTGGGCTAGTGCCGGGCCAGCGCCTCACCACTCCAAAGCAAATAAACTGAGGTCCATTTATACAAACACATTGTTCTAGGACAGACAAGGGGAGCGCAAGCACTGGGGCAATATTTGCACCACTGATACGAAAATTAAACTTTAGAAGGTTTACATACCTCCCTTTCTGGGATAGTGTTTAGGCAATAGTATTTGTGTTGGAACCTGTGTACATGGGAAGATTTTGTGACATGGGGCCGACACTTATGAGAGTGGGAGGGAATTACAACGATGCATTTTCGGGTTCGAGTGGTACCTGTGAAGACATAAAGTTGCCAGGTTGAGATACTGGAGCTAAAACCTCGGGCTGTCCTTCAAGCCATGAAATCTTCAAGGGGTTTTCACTCAGGCCACTTTCATTCTTGACTGCCAGCTCCTACAAGACAAAAAACACAAAATAATCTGTGAGTGGATCTTCTGATGGTATCTCTGCCAGTATTTTATTAGGACAATAAATGTTTCTCCATGTCCTGAAATCTGTAAAAAAAATTGCATTGTGTACATCTTACACCTGGGTATTTGTGCAGGGACTGTTGGCATAATATACATATGAAAAACACATGTAGACAAGGACAAAAGGTGGATTGTAACTGGGCCAACACCCAGAGCTAGGCTGGGACCTGGAAATGGGCAGGCAGAGACCACAGAACCTGTGCCCAGATCCCTGTAGACTGGCAGACATGTGCTCTGGACGGAAACCACACGCCGTGGTGAGGAAGCCACAACAAAAAAGTACACCATCACGACAAAGGCCTGAGGATCCAGACAGTGTGGAACAATGAGGTGGCTCAAGTCCTTCCGTCCAATGGTTCCCATCAGCACGGAGATCTCTACACTACAGAATGACTAAAACATCAGTTCGGGTTTCAGAAACTGTCCTGAGGCTGGGAAGTCTATGACAGGTGTCATTCTTAGCAATAATCAAACTCAGCAGGTGACCTGAGACTTGGAGGCAAGTGAGTGGTAAACAAATGTGGTTCTATGCAAATGTCTTATTTGGAAAAGATTTTCATTTTTGAACAAACAGAAAGAGGACACTGACAGGGGAAGAGTTAGGTACTTACAGCTGCTCTCACAGTTGCAAATTCGACCACAGCGCTTCCTTTCTTCTTACTCGATACAATCACATTCAAAACATCCCCATA